TTTTTTTTTTTTTTTTAGATTTTATTTGTTTGTTTGACAGAGAGAGAGACACAGCCGGGAGAGGAACCACAAGCAGGGGGAGTGGAAGAGGGAGAAGCAGGCTTCCCGTGGAGCAGGGAGCCTGATGTGGGGCTTGATCCCAGGACCCTGGGAATATGACCTGAGCCAAAGGCAGATGCTTAATGACTGAGCCACCCAGGTGCCCCGAGAGGGAGAGAATCTTAAGCACACTTCCCCCTGAGAGTGGAGCCCAACATGGGGCTCGATCTCATGACCCTGAGATCATGACCTGAGCTGAAATCAAGAGTCGGACGCTTAACTGACTGAGCCACTCAGGGGCCCTGAGACTACATTTTAAGAACTTTTTTTTTTTTAATTAATTTATTTATTTGAAAAAGATAAGAGAGAGCACGGGGGTGGTGGGGAGAGGCAGAGGGAGAGGGAGGGAGTCCCAAGCAGACTCTGTGCTGAGCCCAACGCGGGGCTCAATCCCACGACCCCGGGATATTGACCCGACCTGAAACTAAGAGGCGGACACTTAACTGCGTTTCCCAGGTGCCCCTCTTTTCTTTTTTAAAGTTTATTTATTTAAATAATCGCTACACTCAACGTGGGACTGAAACTCATGACCCTGAGATTAAGAGTCATGTGCTCTTCCGACTGAACCAGTGGGGTGCCCCAAATCTTTTAAGTGTTATGATTTTGATAACATGCATTTTTTGTATCTAAGATGTTTATAACCATGCTAATGCATGGATTTGTGAGTTTTGCAGATGTAAGGTGAATTTTCAGTGACTGTTAAGACATTTACTACAATTATGCTTGATAGCAAATTATTTTGTTTTATATTCTTTTTTATTTTTAATTAAGCTGTCTGCCCAATGTGGGGCTTGAACTCATTACCTGGAGATCAAGAATTGCATGCTGTACTGACTGAGCCAGCTAGCTGCCTCAATCTTACTTTGTTTTATTTATTTGTTTATTTTTAGAGAGCGAGTGAGAGAGCAAGAGCATGCTAGCTGCGGGGGGGGGGGAGGTTTACAGGGAGAAGGAGACAGAATCTTTTTTTTGTTTTTTTAAGATTTTTTATTTATTCATTTGAGAGAGCGAGCGAGAAAGCCAGCACAAGCAGGGAGAGCGGGAGAGGGAGAAGTAGACTCCCCGCTGAGCAGAGAGCCTGATGCAGGGCTCAATCCCAGGACCTAGAGATCGTGACCTGAGCTGAAGGCAGATGCTTAACCATCTGAGCCACCAAGGCGCCCCAAGGAGACAGAATCTTAAGTAGGCTCCACACCCAGTGCAGAACCCGATGTGGGGCTCAATCTCATGATCCTGAGATCATGACCTGAGCTGAAATCAGGAGTCATTTGTTTATTTATTTTTAAAAAGATTTTATTTATTTGACAGAGAGAGACACAGCGAGAGAGGGAACACAAGCAGGGGGAGTGGGAGAGGGAGAAGCAGGCTTCTTGCTGAGCAGAGAGCCTGATGTGGGGCTCGATCCCATCATGACCTGAGCCGAAGGCAGGTACTTAACGACTGAGCCACCCAGGCGCTGCCACCCCCAATCTTGTTTTATATTCTTGATTTTTATTTATTTTATGATTTTAGCTAAATGTATTTCCTGTATTTAAAAGGTTATAAATGTTAATTGTTTTCTCTTATTTTGTATGTTTTTTTTCCATAGTATGAAATTAATCTTTTGGAGTTGATTCAGAGAAGGAGAACTGTAAGTAGATATTCTGGAAGTTGGAAAAATTTAAATATTTATTTGAGAGTGAGAGAATGAGAGAGAGAATGAGCAGGGAGAGCGACAGAGGGAGAGGGAGAAGCAGACTCCCCACTGAGCAGGGAGCCCGATGTGGGGCTCGATCCCAGGATGCCGGGATCATGACCTGAGCCAAAGGCAGACGCTTAACGACTGAGCCACCCAGGCGCCCCGGAAGCTGGAAAAATTTAGAATTAAGTAGCGTGGCTCTATAGCTAGAACTTGGGTTTGGGAAGCAGTTGGTATTGATAAATTGTGTGGTGCTGTGCTCATAATGGATATTTGTTTATTTTTTTAATTTTTTTTATTCTTTTAAAGATTTTATTATTTGAGAGAGAGAATGAGAGAGAGAGAGAGTACATGAGAGGGGGGAAGGTCAGAGGGAGAAGCAGACTCCCCACTGAGCAGGGAGTCCGATGCGGGACTCGATCCTGGGACTCCAGGATCATGACCTGAGCCGAAGGCAGTCGCTTAACCAACTGAGCCACCCAGGCACCCTCATAATG